AGTTGAAAGCAAATCTTGAGAAGCGAGAGATTTTTAAAATAATATGTTTGAGAAGTGATACTTAATTCAAATCACGAAAAAACACACGTAGGACAATGATTCCAACCTTTTGGCAAGTCCGAGTGCAATAGTATCGTGCCACAAAGGTTTATCACCGATCCTGGTTGTGTGCCGCAAGTGGGCAGACAGGTTTAGACACAACTGCAGTGGACTCCGACGCGTACTCCACCTTTATATCGAATTGCGAGCTAATAAAAAACGAAGAGTTGTGGTAAACTTGGGGAAAAGTGCAATCGTTTATATCCCGTAGATTTATGACGCAAAAAAAAATCGGGGAAAAAACTTTCAGCCATAAGATTTAGAGTTTCTTATGAATAAATAAATGGAATAGTTATGAAGGAGAGAGAATAGACTGAGAGAGTTGAGTGATGTGATAGCTTCGGATTAGTTATTTATACATTCTACTGCTAAATTTTGCCGAAAATTTAGCATGAATAAATTTTTTATTTTTTTTCATTGCAGTAAATAAGTACCGGTTCTCGACGAACATCTCAACATAGTCCATTATTCGTGAAACAACTTTCAAGTATATCGTTTGACTCTCCCAGGTTGTGTGTATGATACACATTTTTTGAAGCTCATTACCTAGATTAGACACACCTAAGAGTATGTGGCTACTAACATTCAATTATTGACCCAAGAATCATAGAGTCAGGTTGTAAAGATTGATTCACTCGGGCCATTCCTCTTTTGCAAACTTTTATTAAGAACACATGATATTAACATAAGGTTTACACATTTGAAGCGTAAGTTTTATCCACCAAAAATTGTCTCTCGCAACCTATATGCTGTAAATAAAATATAATTACTGAAAATTAAAGATGTATTTCACGAGTATAAACTTACTCTAGCAATGATCCGAGGATATTTATTAATAAATTTTCTTGTAGTATTGTACATAATCTTACCTTTTTCACAAAATGACTCTTTCATCTAAACTTTTCATATGCTTAAATGATTTTTATAGATAGATCATGAAAGTCTTTTCAGACACTGTTTGACCAATGACATTCAAGCGTATATAAAGACAAACATCTGTGTCCATTACACATCGAGGGCAGGTATTTTACCTATGAGAAAAGAGTAGCCACATCATTTTCTTCTCTTTTTATTTCCATCATTTTCTTTCTTTTCTTCTCTACAGTATTTTTTTTAACTCTTTTGATTTGCGATTCAAAATAGATCCATCACTAGTTCTTTTGTAGGGATGTGAGTACCCCATTCAATCTATTAAACTTAACTTACGTCATTTGAAAAAGGTTCAAGCCCCGTATTATTCGCCCTTGATATAACTAGATATCTACAACTTAAGTGGATGTGCCGACAATTTCAACATGCTTTACATTTTAGTGAATTTGAATTTTTCTTGTTGCATCAATTTCTTTTTTCATTTGTGGTTTGACAATCATGACAATTCAGGCTCATGCATTAAGGCTATTTGACTCACACAAGTTACCTCATCTATGATGATACCTTATTTCATCCATGCATCTCGTCTTCATTGTCCACATGTGTCATTTTTTTTTAACGCAGATTAATGTTACATGATTCCTTGTGTATGTAAGTGTTCTATAAATTTATTTCCATTAGGCATTTAGTGTGTGTGATGACATGTCAAGGTACACATTTCACCTGATAAGAACATTCGTGTCATTCACAAAATTCTTGATGTAGGATCGGTTAATATTGATATGCAAAGTTTAGAGTGATTTTTGCAAAAGTGATGATTAGCGATTTTTTGAGTTCCATAACTTCAAAAGTACTCTTTAAGAGTCAAAGTGTAGAGAGTTACCAAAAAGTTTCAAGTAAAAACATTTGATGGTAGCAATTGAATTCTAAAAGCAAAACATTTGAAATAAAATATTAGTGTACAAAAATATAAAACATCATCACCAAAATTCATATAACTCCTGGGTGGATTCATGTTGTATTTTTTATTTTTGTTAACTTGTCAGTTTTATTTTAGATATATATTTTATCATCACACAAATTGTAGATGTGAAATCTTTGAATAATTTGTTATGAATCAAATTGAGATTCAGTGTACCTGTTTTAAATTTATCTATGTAAAATTCGTTGTAAATAAACATTGATTTTCAAATGTGTATGAGAGACTGCACAAGAGTCATTCTTCTTATAACACAACTCAAAATTTTTATTGTGTGAAAAACATTGCATAAAAGAAAACCTTAAATTTCAAAGTATCATTTCAAAGGCTCAAGTTATTTTTTACTGTTTCATATGGCTAATTTTAATATCTTGATCTACATATGAAATAGCCTTCATTGTCATACTTTTGTACTATAGCCACATCATTTTCTTCTCGTTGAGTAATCTCTACAGTTTTTTTTAATCTTTTGATTTGCGATTCAGCATAGATCCACCACTTGTTCTTATGTAGGGATGTGAGTACCACATTTTATCCATTTAAATTACGTCATTTGGAAAAGGTTCAAGCCCCGGATTATCCGCCCCTGATATAACTAGAGATCTACAAATTAAGTAGATGTGCCGATAATTTCAACATGCTTAGTGAATTGGAATTTTTCTTACATCTTAGTGAATTTGAATTTTTCTGGTAACATCAATACTGTTTAACATTTTGCTTTAAAATTATGACTTTTCATGATCATGCATTATTGCTATTTGACTCACACAAGTTACCTCATCCATGCATCTCGTCTTCATAGTCCACATGTGTCAAATGATTTTTAATGTAGATTAATGTTACATGATTCCTTGTGTATGAGTGATCTATACATTTATTGCCGTTAAGCATTTAGTGTTTGTGATGACATGTCAGGGTACACATTGCACCTGATAAGAATATTCGTGTCATTCACAAAATTCTTGATGTAGGATCGAATAATATTGATATGCAACGTTTAGAGTGATTCTTGCAAAAGTGATGATTAGCGATAATTTGAGTTCCATAATGTCAAAAGTACTCTTAAAGAGTTCAAGTGGAGAGAGTTAGCAAAAGTTTTCAAGTAATATCATTTGATAGTAGCAAATGAATTCTAAAAGAAAATTATTTGAAATAAAATATGAATGTAAAAAAATATAAAATATCATCATCAAAATTCATATAACTCCCGGGTGGATTCATGTGTTAGATTTTATTAGTGATAACTTGTCAGTTTTAGTTTAGATATTTATTGTATTATCACACAAATAGTAGATGTGAAATCTTTAAATAATATGTTATAAATCAAATTGAGATTCAGAGTACCTGTTTCAAAGTTGTCTATGTAAAACTCGTAGTATATAAACATTGATTTTCAAATGTGTATGAGAGATTGCACAAGATTCATTTATCATATATTCTGAACACAACTCAAAAGTTTGATTGTGGGAAAAAGTTATATAAATGAAAACCTTAAAATTTCAAAGTATCATTTCATAAGCTCAAGTTATTTTTTAACTGTTTCATAAGGCTAATTTTAATATCTTGGTCTACATATGAAATAGCTTTCATTGTCATACTTCTGTACTATATAGTAAATGGTGGAGTAGTTGCAGTTGTACTCCCAAGTATTTTACTCCATTATCTATAAAGGTGCCTACTAAGTCTTCCAATTCACTCTTTAGTCTTGCCAGTGTTGTAAACATTTATTCCATCAACTTGTATAGACAAATGATGCAATTTTCCACAACTACAGATCGAGAATGCAAGAATATCGACAGGTAATGGGTGGAACCGGACATCGTGCCCGAATCGCCGGAACGATGAGACCATCATTTTCTCCATGTCACAAAGGATCCAAGTCAAAGTTCGAGATTCGTGCGGAAATTCTCCGGGCACCCAGAGGGCATGAAAACAATGAGCGCTGACGTGGCAGCAGGGACCGAACGCATGGGTGACCATGTACCGTAGTTAAGGAGAGCAAAGACAGAGCCGGCTGTGCCTGGAAAGTCACTTTCACACAGCGGCAGTGGCCGAACTGCTCATTCGGACTGGAGAGAAATGAGGAAGGAAACCGTTTAATTTAAGGAGAGTGCGAACCGCTCGTTGGGGAGCCAGCAAGGCTGACGTGGGAAGGTTTGGTAGCGGGCACTTAATGAGTGGATGAGTGCGAAAGGGACGCAGCCGGTAACGGTAGCGGCATCATGGGGCGAGCTGAGGAAGACGGCCTGGCCTTCTTGTAGAGCGGCCGGGGCCCCGAGGCTCTCAAGAGCAGCAGTCAAGAATCAAGAAGATTAAATTCTGGCCGCGGGCGCGCCTGGAGATGCAGCAGCGCACGCAGCTTTGATGCCTCCTCCTCCTCCTCGTCGTTGTTGGTGGCTGTGGTGTGTCTGTGATCGATTGTGAAATCTGGATTGGCTCTTCTCGGGGAGCGGAAGACGGTCAACTACGGTACCTTTTTTGTGACACCACTGCTACAGCCGCCACATGTTGTGCAGATCTTCTTCCTCTTGTTCTTCTTCTTCCTCGTCGTCGCGTCATCCTCGTACGCACGCACACACAAAATTGTTGGAATTTGTAAGCGAACCTGAACCGCGAACGCGTTCCTTGGATCGATCGGTGCGTCGATGCGCCGTCTTCTTCTACTACCACTGCTTATTCTTCTTCGAGCAGATGATGATTGAATGATTGATTGATTGTGGAAGAAGAAGAAGAAGAAGGTCGGTCGGTTGGTTGGTCGTCGTCGGTGCCCCGGCCTGGCTGTGACCTCGTCGGCCTAGAGCAGTGGCAGAGATGAGAAGTTATGCAGATCTGGAACCATAATTTCAACATTGTACTCCCTCGCACTAGCGCGCCCCACACGCGATATTTCGAAATTCGTTTACGAGGTCATTTTACGATATTGTTTTCAAGCACCACCATCACCACTTTCGGATAGGAGGAGGAGCGCTTGGCACATGCTGTGGCTCTAGAGGCACGTGATGTGGTCTATCGATTAGCAGCGCAGTTACGGCTTTGGCAAGTTTCGCAGATGATGATTCTTCTTAACACTCAACTTCTACACCCCAAACTTACGATGCTTTTTTCAAGATAATATTGTCTAGGCTGGGTTTGTCAATTGTCGCCTTCCGGCTGCAGAGGAAGGAGAAGGTGGAAGGAGGGAAGAGAAGGGCGTGGTGGTGGCAAGGGATTGGGTGATGAGTTTCAGCTTCTGATCGAATACTTTTAGGTTACGAGGACAAGGTTGCGAATTGTAAACCTCTTAAGGTCAGACAGAGAGACAGATGTGGTGGATAGAACTCGCTTCTACCTGTTTAAAGATTGGCGGAGGGAGAGAAGGTTGTAGGAGTTGTTGGTTGGGAGGCCTCTTCCAGAACCCCAGGTATCGCAGAAGCCATTGCAAGGTTGCCCGCAGGTGCAGGAACAACTCGCTCCCGCCTGTTGACCATCGAAGAGGAAGGAAGAAAGTGGAGAGATAGAAGAAGGCGAAGGAGATGAAGATGAAGCGATGGCAGTCAGTTTACTCTCCGGGCAAGAAAGAAGCCTCGTCCCATGAAGCTTAGCTCAAGTCCACAATCATGGTAATCCAAGGAAATCAACGAGTCAACACAGGTGTCGTTAGACCTCGCAAATCGCCCTCTTTTGGATTTTTGTCTTGAAACGGTTGCGGTCGAAGAAGGCTGCCTGTAGAGGGGATGAGGGCGTGTGGTAGCAAGATGGCGCAAGACGCTTCAATGAACGAAGACATCTTGAGTAAGCTTCCGGAAGATCTTACAGACAGGATCTTGGCCCGCCTGCCGCTTCACAGCCTGTTTCGGATGCGGTCTGTGTGCAAGAAGTGGTCCTCCCTCCTGTTCTCAAGTCGTTTCGTCGATCTCTACTCAAAGATCTCCCCGCAGAAACCATGGATTGTTCTGTACACATCAGGAGAATTGACTTCCGCTTACAATTGTGTCTCCCGGAAATGGCACAACATACCCATACCCATACTTTCTCCCGAAAAATGCGTGCTGGCTGCTTCAGAAGGCTTGCTCTGTTTTGGGAATGAATTTTTCCCCTGGCCGCATCTATTCGTTTGCAATCCCATGACCAAATTTTGGCAGAATTTACCGTCGATGAGCTACATTAAGACCATACACGTCGTAGGAATGACAACAAACCCGAAGACAAAATCCTTTCGGATTCTTGTATCTGGCCTTTTCTTTGACGAGGGCCAAAATGGTAGGCTGGCAACGGAAGTCTACGATTCCACAAGTAATTCCTGGATCGTTGGAGGAACCCCTTGGCCCATCATGGCAGCCGCTTGGAAACTCGGTGCCGGCTACGCCATTTGGTGTAACGGACTCTTTTACTGTATAACCTTTTCTCCGTTCGGAGTGATTGCTTATGACATTGAGCGCAGAGTGTGGAGTGAAGTTCAGGTACGTATGCCCGCTTCCGTTGTCTCCCCCTCTCTTTTGGAATGCAAGGGCCGGCTGTTGATGGTGGGAGGTTCCGAGGACGGAGTATGCTTTGCCATCCGAATTTGGAGGCTTGAGCCTGAAAGGATGGCGTGGGAGGAGATTGTGAGGATGCCGCCCGGGATCTGTAAGGAGTTCGTGGAAAAGCTGCATCCCTCTAGACATTTTTTTAGTTTTGGAAATGCTGGGATCGTCTGCTTAACCATTTCCGAAAGCACGCCCGCGCTCATGTATGATTTCTCCCAGAAATCATGGCAATGGCTTCCGGATTGCCCTTGGCTTCCGGACATCAATAATTGGCAGCTGCGCGGTATCAGCTTCGAACCTAGGTTGCATTCTTTTGCGTAGACCCATGATACAGTTGGTGTAGGGCTGTTTTCCAGTTTGTACAGAGAACCGGAACCACTTGTTCCCAGGTACAATCCTTTCTTCTACCTTTCTAGACGTAACTTGCCATGATCTTGCAGTGCAGGGATGACAGCTGATTCTGGTTGGAAAATACCCCGTAGCCTGGTTCTTGCTTAGAGTGGGTGCCATTGCCAACATGTGATCTTTGTTTATTATGTCGTGGCTTAGTGGGATACAGTCCTGGTGTCAGTAGTTGAGTGAGTTCGAATGGAGTAATGCTTACTGGAGTTATTGGAGATACGGTGATTGCCGGTGTTAGCTGTAGTTCCAGTTGCATATCGGTGTCAGTACATGTTATCTCGTAATCATATCCACTTGTGCAGGCTGTTGTTCCTCAATGTCATTTTTGGTAAAAGATTTCATCTATCAAGGAGGTTGAGAGGTCGCACGCGTTGTCGATGAAACTATATACACCTTGTCAAGTAGACAGTCCCTTTCGATCAGAGGATTCTCATGCACCTTCTAGATTGTGCGCTTCCTGCTTAGAAGAAGCGTTTTAATTATTTCCCACTGCTCAATCACGCAATCTCCCACTTACTCTCACGGTCAGTCAAGCTTCTTATCAAGATGCTGTTACAGAAACCTCATATCCACTTACATCTATGCAAAAAGGGTGAAGATTTGAAAATTTGTCGACCTCTCCAGTCTTATTCCCTCATCTGCAATTCACCATTGCGGAATTTAGATTCAGTGTGCATTAGTTCAGAGGCCATTCCTTGATTTGGAGCAGTTGCGGGCGCAGGTTGGAATCTGCGTACTGTCAATTTGTGGGATCAACTAAGTGGTGCATAGTAGGGCAGGCTAGCATCAATATAACCAACGTTATGACATTGTGTGGTTTGAGAACCAACAGCTGCTCGATTTCTACACTGAACTTCACACTTCCGTCACTTCTCGTCAGCACACATGCTTCCTCAGCAACACACGGTGCTTCGACGTTGCGTTGGTTGAAAGCGAATTATGAAGTTTGGGAAACCTTGTGGTTTCTTCTGGAGTGGTTGCTCGAGCACTTCACGTTAGAATCTTCCTCCGACAGTCCACTAACGCTATTTCTGTGGAAGGAATCTCCATGCTGGGTGGGTGGCCGTGTGGTTCACTCTTCCCTCTACCAACTCATAGCGTCCTTATCCACTCGAATACACAATTTTACACACCAACTGGACCCACGGGGAAGCCGAGACCTCTCCGTATCTATGCCATAGTTGGATGCGGAATGGTCTGTACTGTATCTGACAAGGTGACATTCCCTTCCGGCAGTGGAACAGCGCCACGGATCCTTTGGGTCCCCACCACCTCGAGTGGTCTCTTCCCCTGACCGTTTATGTATTTCCACGAGAAGCCCAAAGTTCTAAACCTTCATGGAATCGAGGATCAAATATGCTGCTCCCACTCAGTACTAAAAGTTACGTCCTCTAAAAGTACTGTGTGTAGCAAGCTTGTCACAACATGATGACCCGATTTGACGAAGTCATTCACTTCATTTTCACTTTTAGAGGATAAAATTCCAAAAGATAACATGCCTCGGACGTTACGTCTGCTTCTACTGGAAGAACCTGTCTTCATCCAAAGCGTAGAGACACAAATTGATATTTCAAGGACGACACTGTGGAAACTTGGCTGCTGGTCCGAGGGACGTTGAATACCAGATCCCGATGCCCGCGGAAGGAGGAACCATTTTCGAGGAGAAGGAGAGGGAGAGGAAAGTCTCAGTGAGTTTAAAACGTGAGCCCTATCCTGAACATGTGACTGAGTCTGTCACAGGACAGTCTCACATGATACTGTCCTGAAATCCCAAAGCAAGTATTGCGGGGATCAGATGTCTCTCCATCATCACATAAATGTGTCCGGTGAGAACATTGTGGAATTGTGTACGGACTACTAGCCATTATAAATACAGTGCATCACCCCTTAGATCCCTCGGCAATGCTATCCATTTGCACAAGTGGTGCAGAAGCGTTAATTTTGCCGAAAACGACACCGTAAAAGGCGAACAATTTATCGATATAGGACGCACGTGTTTTCAGAATCTCCTCTCTTGTCGTCGTCAGGCGCAACTTGTTCATGGTTCACAGAAACCACCGCTGGTGTAAATGTCTCGTATGTCCCTCGCACAGAAAACGACAAGCAGGAAGTCGGTCCTCAATCGCGGAGTTCGTCTCATATTGATCAGAACGGGAACTTGAGGCGGTGAATTCGAAGCTCTAGTGTCACACATTTCGAGAGATTTACCGTGAAATTTGCATTTTCTCAATTCACATCCTCTCTCTCTCTCTCTCTCTCTCTCTTCCTCTCTTTCACACGAAGCCCACGCCTCCGCATTTTCTTCGGATTCTCTTTTACATTTGCGACGACGTTTGACTTGCCTTGCCTGATTACTACCCCCGAGAAACAACGGGAAACTCAGGTACGATGTCACGGCGCCAGTCAGACTGCTGAGTCGGATTCTGACGATGAGAGTGACAAGATTGTTTCGTGCTGAGTGTCTTCAAAATTGCTCGTGCGCTCTTGATAGTCCGTGCCGACGTGTGCTCAAATCGAGGAACCCATCAGACAAGTGGATTACGCGGGAGTGAAGAAGTGAAGGCCCAGATTTTAACTACTGGTCCAGGTGGAATTCCCATGGAAAATTATGTCGCATTGTCAAGGTACACAGCACCTTGTACCTCAAGAGATTCGCCGATTTCGTATCCCAGAGTTCGCAGAGTTCCGTCTGAGTGTTTGGGGCATCTCGACTTCTGTCGGACTCGTCGATCTTACGTATGTACACAGGCAATTCATCGAGTTATCGTACACTATCCCTCGTCTGGAAGTGATCTCTAATGAGGCGAGGGGCCCAAAGAATCAATCACGCCGAGGGCGTGGTCACCTTCTTCGTTCGCGCATAGAGCTTCATGGTTCGTTTCGCCAGACAGGCTCCCAAACATGCACCTACCACGCACACGCAGGCTAACACGGACATGGAGATGCCGAAGCATCGCTTTCCCTGGCATATATTCTCGTCTCCGGACCCGCCCTCATCGTCGTGTTCGTCGTCGTGGTGACCCCGAGTCTTGGCAGGGTTGAGGCTTTGGTAGTACTCTGCTTCTTCATCGTACAAATATCCGACCACTTTGGCTGACAGCACATAAGCTCCCACCGGACCGCAGGCCCTGCACACACACGCACACCCCACGAAATCAATGTCCGCCTCATTCGTCCGTCCAGCTCCCGTTTGACAGAGAAATGGCCTTTTGGTCGCTCATGTGAGGAAGAGGATCAGCGTCTGCAATTTGTGAAAAGCTTTGCCTTTACTTTGGAAATTGGTGGTACGAGCCATGAGCGAAACTTTGTGCAGGACAGGTGATTGAGCAGCATTTCTAGAAGCTGTGAAGTACAACACTTCTTCACTGCCTTGTACCAGAATGCGTTCATCATACGGTCTGATGTCGAACCTTACTCACCCTATCAGCTTGTACAGGGCTGCAAAATTGTGGAGGCCGAAAACTTCCGAAATGATGGCCGGGGTGAGAGACCAGAAAGCTCCATACGAACCGCCGACCAGAGCTGCTCCGATGTAGAGCATGGGAACAGCTGTTCATGTCCACAGGCCCCACATGAACATTTATCAACATGGAGTCGTCCACGTCCAGCCACAGCCACCTCACAACGGAAAAGGAAATCAACTCCCAGAGTTTAAAGTCTCCCGGCAGACAGATTCGGTTTATCGACCTGACAGCAAGTGGATATGGCTCGAAGAAAAGATCGACACTTACTTCCCGCAGCGAGAGTCAGACAGCCCACGGTCATGATGGAGTGTGCTATTGACAGACAAAGAGGTCTTGGGTATCCCGTCTTTCTTAGCATCACATCGGACCCGTACCTGCATAAGATAAAAGACACGCACACGGAGGGATCATTGAAACTGCCAGCTGATGAATACGCTCCTTCTGCCGCTATGAACAAGAGTGGCTACAAGAGAATCACTGAACTATGGCTGCTCTTGAATATGGAGACGGAGGAAGTCAGGTGCAGCAGTTTACCCAGCAATGAGACGGCCGAAGCAGCTGGCGATGCTAATCAGCCCTACAAATAACTCGACGCTGTCTGAGCCCAGAGCCTTGCTAATCTGCACGCAATAAACTGGTCAGTCGTTCCATCAGGAGGAATTTGTACGACGTGAGCGAGTGAAAAGCTGGACTAGTCAGAAAACAGATTGCTGCCACATCGTTTGACAAAGGTGAAGCGTGGGTCATACGGGCACATTCATATACCGGTTGACAGTCCTTCAAGCAGTAAAAGTCTTCATAGAGATCTTGTGTCTACAACTATCATAGAACTTTCGTTGCCGCTGCTTGGAAAAAAAACATCAACACAGGCAACGATGAGGTCTGAGCCAAGTCCGGTCTCTCTCCGAAGGGGTCGTGATGAGATAAAAGTATGTCTACGTATCATGTACCTGGGCGAAGTTGTTGATGACAGCGAGACCACTTCCGGCTCCAAACATTGTGACGAAGGAAAGCAACCTGCCATATGGTAGAAAACACATCAAGATGACTTTGATGATGATTTCGGAAATAGGATGGAGAAGAACTGGTTGAACAATCTCAATCAATCAATCTGCTCAACCAGTTCTTCTCCATCCTATTGACTTGCCGATCAACATTATCCCTCAACTGGTTCTATCAATTATCCCTCAACTGGTTGAGCAGATTGGGGGATAAATGATGGATTTTACTGTGAAAGGTCGGAGAACTTTGGGAGGGTACAAAGTCGTCCCTAAAACTGTTGCCTGATGATCTCGTGGTGATGTGAGTTGTTGAATGTGGTGCTTTTGCACGATGTCAATATGCATATCGGATACGTACCAAAAGTTGAGTTGTTGGACTGTGTCCCACAAGGTGTATCTTTCTATCTCTCCTGACAGGTCCTCATCTTGTTCGAGGGCTTGGACACAGTTCACGTCCTTCGAAGTATTGATGTCTTGTTCGGCCAGGGCATCGTAGCCTTTCTTATGCACAAGGGCATTGGATGTGACATAGACCTTGTTGTCACTGGAGTCCTCAAATTTGTCTTCACTGTTTTGTTCTCTTTGTCTGAGAGGTTGGTGATCATCATCCCCATTACTGTCCAGCGTGTCCAACTCGGAAGTCTTCCTTTTGAACTTAGGAAGGGCGACCATCTCCTCTGGGAGAATATATTGGGATCTACCTCCGGTCCACCAATCGTTCAACCTACACAGAGGTCTGAAAACCACCTGTTGAAGAGAACACCATAGGGATGTTGTTAAAAGGTCTTCTTAAAGACTCCTCGGCAAGTCATCCTCTTGATTACATCAGTGAGAATACACTATATTCGATACTGACTATAACCACATTCGAATTGTGTAACATCGAGAAGCTGTTATCAATGATCCGTATTCTTTCACGAACTTATAATAAACATCACGTTTTACTTTTCGTACAGTTCTGATCTCACTTGCAGATCGGTTATTCTATCTGTCATATCCAAATTTTTCTAGTGATCAGCTGCTGAAGTACTGCACATACCAGGATTCCCGAGATGACGAAAAGATTGATAAGCATTGTCACAGCAAAGAAAACCAGCAATGACCTGTCAACATCGTGGTGTGCCTGCAAGTTGATTGCCTTCAATGATCAGTGAAGAGCTATTGAAGTGAAAGAACGAACTGTTTCAAAGTCTACAAAAACACTCAAGTGCAACTGTTAGCCTGAATTGTAAGAGGGCTGACATGAGAGGGAAGCTCACTGTGGGCTTTACTTTATGCTCATCGCAGGGAATGTTCAACCTACTCGAAAGCAAAATTAAGTAGCTTCAGGAATGAGTAATAAGGTTATTACTTGTAATAGAACTGAACAGAGAAGATATAACCCCAGGGTAATTGTAGCAGCCTGCAATCAACAAAGATAAACAATTGATATTCAGACCTATGCAGCGAGATGAGTACTCCAAACAAGCACAAGGAAAGTGAACAAATTCGTCAAGGAGACTCAAAAAAGGAATCAGCTCCCTTGGAACAGCTTGAATGAGACTAACTGTGAAGCCTCTTTTGCATCGGATCAAATGAATCATTTTGCGTCTACAGAGATCAAGAGGAAATTTTCTTAGAAACTCACGTAAGTTAGATGAAAGCGTTTATTGATGCTTTTGTCCTTTGCATCTACCTCGTCGTCACAGGGATGTGGCCAAATAAAGACAGCCAGGAGAACGCTTGTTACCGCTGGTGCAGTGGCCACCAACAAAATATATGCATCGACATCGGGTTTCAAAAACGCCTTATACAGCTGTTGATTTCCACAATAACCAGCTGCTGTTCAGAGATTTTGATCTGGATGGGATCTCTGTATGTATCCTCTACTGCCAGAGCACTGAAAGAACTGTAACGTATATAGAGCAAAAGCGTAATTTCATACTGCCATGACTAAGAGCCTGTAATAATCTGACAAGCAAAGATCGCAAGCCCCAACTGGGCCGTGCTGGGAAGTGGAAGAAGAAGGTGAAGACAGGAACAAACTGGAGGAAAGCCAGGAATACGTCATTCTGTATTTTGAAAACACAATGGAAGTCCTGTTCCTTACCGTAACAAAGATCGCTCCACAAAGTCCAACCTGTGCTTTCAACACTCCCATGGCTGTGCCGCGAAATTTGTCAAAGTTCTGCAAACTGGGTAAAGTAAACATCTCAGAATCAGAACTGAAGGCGTGACAAGGACACTTTGTGCACCACAAGCAGTTTGTATGTATCCCTCGAAGAAACCAATCAGAATGATAGAACAAAGGCAGAAAGCAGTGTTCCTGGATAAATACCTGGTCATGATGGCAGCTGCATCTATCCAGCTGTCGCCTCCAACACCAATGGCAATAAATCCACACAGCTGTTCAAGCAAAAGGCTGTCAAATTTTAGTTTCGGGGGTTACAGTATCTGTGACAAATCAGAACTTTTCTTCAGAGGTAAAACAAATCGGTAGAAATCTACGGTTCACATCAAGTTTAGAAGGAACAGACAGAAGAATTTGTACAAATCGAATGTTAAAATCTTCTCTCGCTTGGGCGGCCTACGTATAAGAGGGTCAAGGGTGAAACCCTACCATCCAACCCGGTGGTTCGATTTGCCCTGATGTCGTCATCCACAGCTGCAACCAGACTCATAAGATGTCAAAGAGGCTGGACAAAAGAAATGGCTGAATTTGCAATCGGGACATTCATATCAATGTTTTGCATTATCTTTTGACACACAACAAGGGCCGACTATCATCAGTTATAGCTGAAAAGAAGGCCAACATCCTGAGATCTCCTGAGAAATCATTCCATTGAGTATTAAGTCTAACTCAATGTACAAGAGGGAAACATTCGTATCGAAAACTTTACGAAAGAGGCACAGTCACAACACAAGATGATTCACACAATAAAAATTCTATGTTCATGGACAAATCTCAGCTTTCTTACTAGATTTACATTTGCTTGACCAAAGCTCTACCGACCAAAGCTCCCACGTTCACAAAAAGCAGACGTTCACGGGTCATGAGAGGAGAAACTCGGAGCATTACCATGGAATAGCCGAAAAAATGCAAAGTGGCCCCGATTCCAATCGTCATCCACGGAGGAATTAAATTGTATATAATTCCACCAATTATTCCTAGACAATAGCCAAAATCTTTTGCAGCTCCCAATTTATCGAGATCTTCTTGATCATAATCCAACGTCTCTTTTATGTGCTGACTGTAAACGGCAAAAGTATAGCCTAGCCCTCCGCATGCCTGCAAAGGTAATTGAATGACATATTTCGAGATGAAGCTTGCATGACAGATCCGCCTCCAAGGAAAAAGTGCTTAATTTGACTCTGCACGGAGCACAGCTACCTACCTGTAGCCGGCCGTGACTAAAAGCAAAAAGCACAGGAAAATAAAAGGATGGATTAGGATTACGCACCTCCATAATCATTGCCGCTGCCAGACAAGACCATCTGTCGAACATCCAATGGCCTCGTTGCCTGGCCTCCATGGTGACTTCTTTGCATAGGGGCAAAAACTTTCAAGAGGCAGGTATAGCAAAAATTATATACCCTTGAGGTCCACTTCCGATTTCATTGACGATCTACATCAACTGCAAGAGCTTCGTAGATTTAGGTTGGTCTGAAGATGGATTCTACTCAGATTCGAGCCACATCATGATCTCTCCAAGAGAAAGTTATGGCACAAACATATCACGGGACCGAATCCCCATCCATGGCCATTGCACCTGCGAAATCTTATCTATCAAACAATCTTACAATTTAAGATATAGATAGTTGTAAAAGACCAAGAAATAAGAAACAACTGACATATACTGAAAGGTAAGGCTAAAATGTAATCCTTATGAAATCCAGATAATATGCAGAGGTGATGAGTACCAAATGCTAATAAGCTTTACGGAATTAAAATTTGCAGATTTTCAAGGTCCGGACGAACATTTACCAGTAACTGAAAGTAGTTCTAAATTGAGCGAGATTCTGTAAAGGCAGGATCATTAGCGATGACTATGCTGAAAATATGGATTGAATGACAACGTGAAGGCTGAGCAATCTGCTTTCAAGGAAGAGCATATTCATTCGCGTTATATGAACAAAACAAGTCCTGCAACCAACGTTTCATGCGCTCAAGTACTGAAGGACAAGAACTCGTTTCATGTATTTCCAAATTCCATCAAACTGCGACAGATCTGAGAGATCTGTCGCAGTTTGTTGATATTTGAATTCAAACATGGGCTGTATGATGGAGATGGTCACTATGAGATACGCTCAACCACTGCCAGGATAATGAAGTCTTACCGTTTTGGTTTCGGCGAAAAGGCATCTCCTGTACGTTTGTCAATCCAGCATCGAATGTTCTACCTGGAGCGCATTTCTGACGCCTCTGCTGCCCCAGCCAGGAAAGGATGTTGAATAGTGGACACTGATCCTTATCATCTGTTCTACATCTTGGAACTTCCTAGTTCTACTGCTCTGTTATTCGAGGCCCATTTTCGATCCCTTGCATTTTCACAGCTTATAAGAGCAAGTGGAAACGATAACTTGCAAGCTGCACCTGCGGATCTGCGGATCTGTGGGCGTCCAATCTTCCTCCAGAAACTATCAGGCTCACAGTCCCTTCATCGTTCTCTAGCTCCGGAATATAATAATCTCAGTGTATGTGAAGTCTCTTGTTGGACAGATACTTCACTCTGTCAAACAAGATCTGTTACGCTGCCCTGTGCTCCCCTCGGACAGACAGCACTTGATTGCGACATGGTTCTCCTGAAATGTCCGTGGGTAAAAAATCCTTGAAATTCTTGCGTGCTATTATGGAGTTCAATGGATCTGGATCTCAATCAGAGTGTAGACTTCGGTGTTCGTGCTTTCCCCTATCACCAAACATCTGCGTCTCCTCCCCTGCCTGAGTCTAGTGACTTTCAGAAACCTCTAGCAGCAAAATCAGTGTGCTGCACACGAGCTCAATCCGACATCTTTCTTCATTCTGTGTCCAACCAGCTAAAGTATTCCCTCTTGTTAAAAGTCCATGTAAACCCAAAACTCTGCTGTCAGTGCGCTAGACAGTCCTGTGCAACTCAATACACATGTCTCTCGCAAGCTCGCTAGTCCGTTGTGTACATACGAGAGTTGCGAGTTCAGGGAATTGAGAACTTTGTTGTCGTCCCACGTTTCTTAACAATCGAGCTTTTTAAAGGGACACGATCTCTTGACTGCTGCGCCATTGCGACTCAGTGTGACCTGGAGGCCCAGGCAGCCAACCAATGCAGTATATTCATCTGCCTGCTGGAGAATCCCCAAGCCTGACGAACAGATCACTGTATCGAGCAGAAAAATATAAATCTGACTTTCCCCTACTCTAGATATACACACATGTCAGCATTGATGACTGATGTCGTGGTATGAGGAAACCAACCGGGAGACCGCAAAGGGGGCAAGGCCACCACACTCCAGTCAATCAGATAGAGAGAGCAGTGAAAGAGCACCGGTACTTGTGGATAGATCCACGGGTGCACTGGGACCAAAATGGCGGTGACTGCCATGGCTGGAGACACGTTTGGCAGGACTGATTCTTGGCAGGCCCGAGTCAACATGGTCATCTAAGATCTCCGTATATAGCTGGATGTCAACTGGATACAAACTCTGCAATTTTTGGTGGTGCCAAGTGTGGAGGGTCCCAATGAATTCCCAGTCCGCGGACTGTCCTCAAGTTAGGCCCAACACCTTGGATTCGTTCGCAGCTTGCCAGTTGCCACTTCCTTACAGACACCCTGATATGCACTCAGTCATGCTACAACCCCAGATTTTAGGGAAGGCCTTTGAAGTGGAGTCAACGACAGAGCTCCTAGTAACATGCTCTATGTATAGATGAAGAACAAGCAATCAGAAGTTAATCTCCAATCCTCACTTCCTCATGAAGATCATCACGTCGTTTAGTCCCCATTCCACGGCACTCAGCTCCCCCTGCATGTCGGCTGGACTCTGAAAAGCGATCACAAGAATAGTAGAAAAGCAGAAGGGCCCTACGTGAAGTGCTGGTAATTCCTTCCAGCAACGTCGGTGTGCGGCGTGGAAGGTAAAAGTCTTTTATGTGTGCCCGTGCAACTTGTGCCAGGAAACCATCAGTTAAGCAAGAGATCCCACCCATACTGAAGAGGTGTGTGCTCCATTGCCCGAATCCTCCGATACAGCAGACCGAGTAAAGTACTGATTCAGTCCAGATCCAGTTCATCCAGCGTGTGTTTTATCTTGAGGATTGGGTCACAGCCATTAAGAATAGATAACTTCTGGCAAATCCTGGAACTGCTTTGCCGTCATTCAGGTAAGCAAATGGCTTTATTGAACTAATTGTGGCACTTCGTATCAGCTTTCGTACGTTATTTTTCCGTACGAAGTTTGGCCCGGTGCACATCTTTACATGTTTCCATGCTTGAAGAGTACCGTAAATGCTCAAGCTCGTCTAATTGATAATTGCATGTTACTATAAGTACAATCTATAAGTATAATAATGGATAATATTATGATGATTTTTCCTAATAAACATCGACACAAAAATTTGTGAAGAATGTAACTTGGAAATCAATTGGTCGATCAGGCAGCACAATACATGCACTTATATCATGTTACAAAAGAACTTGGCAAGGATCTTTCACGCCATTAACCAACTGTTATGATTCATAATCACCAATTGTGAATTTAAAGTATATATAAAAAATGACATACATCTTTAAATATATTTTTCTTATAATTTTGTTATATTTGTATAAAATTATGGAATTTGATAACATGGAGACAACAAAACCACTTGCAAGATTTCCTTGTTGAGTTTTAAACTGCAGTCATAACACGAGGGAAAGTGCGTGGGAGGGTACATAGTGTACATACGGAGACGCAAGGTACCCTATTAGAATGGTCACATATGAGTATAGTTCCCACAACTGATAATCCAAATATCTTGACTAGAAATTTTTTTATATTCAGATAAACGTTTCTGAGACTAGAATGAGGCTATACATGTTTTTACTGCTCATATCGCAATAGTTCTACAAGAATGAAGACGAAAGTTTTAGATACTTTTAAGGAACCTAGAAACTATTTTGTAACAAAGATTAAGTCAACTACAATATTACCTCAATCTTCAACAACGAGTAATCCCGCTGCTTTTATATGAAGTGGGCAATGGAGGAGAGTTGTTGTTGATGACACCAAGAACAAACTGAATAGACAATATAAAACAGACAATATGCAATAGATAACTTACATGATAGATTTGGATCAAATTCAGCATTTTCCGTGGTATCACATGGATGCAAAACATCAAGATTTAGTGCTATTCTGAAACACGTTAATGAGACCTCCTTTTGCTTCTCGACGTACTGGAGGCATCTGATTCTAAGAGTATAATTGTGATATGAACAAAGTCCTCGACAAACGAAAACAGAAGTTTTAGTTACCTAGTGCTGATCCAATGCAAGATTATTGTTGGAAATCCACCATCAGAAGAATATGATACCTATAATGATAAGCAAAGGCAACGAGATTGGGAGAAGACTATAGAAGACGATTATGTCACCATAGATTTGCGGAGAAGATTATTAATATCTTGAAATAGATTCTTTTACTTCTTAGGACTTAAACTCCTGCATGGTATTTGATGGTCTTTCGTCGAAAGTTGCAGTCGATCATTAGGAAGATTCAGTTTACATTAGTAACAAGCTGTAGATGGAAGATTCTGATTTCTTCATACATGCTTTACAAGGTTATAATTGAATGCACTTAAGTATAAATTCTACGATGAGCATCTCTAGATAATTTCATTCAGTACGTAATGTATTTGTATTGTCCAACTTAGACAGTCCATTCGACCACACTGCATATCAGATTCGCAAGTAGTTCTTCATTGATGTTATCTGACATTCTCTTCAAGTAGGAATCATTTACTATACAGATGAGGGGACTCGGGCATTGGGACTGTACACAAGCTAGGTCTTCTCTATGTCAACTTGCTCCATCATACTATCTGCGAGAATGTTCCGAAAGTCGTGTGAAATGATATTTGCATAGGATTCAAAGAGCTCACCTTAACTTGTATGCACCAATTCTAAGCTCCCTTGATCGTTGCAGCTACTGTAAGGCAGTTGTCCAACCTGTAATGAGACTTTTACACTGCGGCATCATCCAAGTCAACGAAATTGATCCAAAGGATGCCACCGTGAAGGATGACCTACCTTTCAACGCTCGGATCTGCAGAGGTAGCAAAGTTTTTTACTTGATGGAAGACCTAATTACATAAGCACACACTGCTGGCAAGATGCTTGACACACAACCCTACGGATGTGAGTTAGTCCAGAATCATTTCCTCGTCTCGAAGGAGCAGAAACCATCCCAGTAAGTCTCGGGAGCGGTATAACACTATATTTAATCTTATGTCATAAACTAGGTAGACAGATTTAATACGAATGCATTGTAACAAACTTTCAAGAACGCTTTGTTTACTCTCTCATGTCATCGAGCAGAACATACTACGTTGACTAACAGTCTATGTGCTGATCTGGCCGTAGCTGTATATGATAATGATTCATATTCTCAGCTAAACTGAAATCTATGTCTATTATTCATAACAACTTGTAAGTACACAGTCCGGGCCCACGATCGAGTTATACCGGGTTGGAATTTACCTCAGTTGAACAATCATAATGTTACAACTTAGTCCCTCTATCATACAAGGTTTAATGTTTATCCTCCGAATTTGTTGGGACATAAATTAAGCTTGCACATGAATGCGGTCATTGAGACTATTAAGGATACAGGCAGTGAAACAAAGCTGAAACGGAACTAAACATATATGTGAATTTCTAGAAAGTATGAACATGTTTAATGTGTTTTTGAGACTTCGAAACTATACCTTCTCCATGATTTGGATAATTTTAGAACACAAATTGCCTCAAATAGTTATGGATGAAATCCACACTATCATGTAAGTAATCAACACTGCTCATGCTTTCTATGTGAACCAGAAATATGAGAAAGAGCAAATGCATTCGCAAGATTTCGTCTAAGATCTTTGGACATCAAAATATTATGAAGGAAAATTTGCTTCATAAGCCAGTTCATAGTAATCCAAGGGTTAAGAGCTCAGAACATTGTCTTGATGTAAAAAGGATGCAAGTGCATGTTGTGCAAAGTCGTTGCGTGTAAGATGGAATATATATGATCTATCCACAATACGTGCATGCATCCAACAGTATTGCACTGGATCCGAACAGGAGGTCACTATCACCTTCTAAATGGAACATTTATTTTACTAGAAAAATTCCTACAAAGCTGAAATCCGAAAGCCGAAAGACAAATATTATTTCGACACATACGGTCCTCGTTTGGGTACATACAAAACAACAACGTAGCCATTACTCAAAACTGGCTACTTGAAAGAAGTAAAATAACTAAAACCTGATTCTCTCTCGCTTTTTGATGAAACTCAGAAGCTGCTCTAGTCGCATGGAGTATTGTGGATTCGTCCTCACATAGTACGAAATGCTCCATCTGCCTCTTTTCAGAGCTTTGAGAAGCACGCGTTTGTACTACATCAGCAGTGAATAAGATAATCACGACCTTACCATGGCAAGAAATCATTCTACATTCTGCTGGTTACAAACCATGATGATCATGACTCGATGCAAAAACGCGCACATCTATGTAATCGAAAGTTTTGTGTTAGATAGCATGGAGTACCTAATATCAGAAACTCAATATCGTGCTCATCCGGACCGAAACCCTTAGCTTACCTCATATGTCAAACGAGCACGACGTGCAAGTTGTCCAAGTTCTTCGGAGGTGGTTTGAGGGTATTGTCCATCCCTTGGTTTGGTGATGGAAGTTGTGTAATGTCTCGCCCCAGCCTTTGTACAATCATAACTATGACCTTGGTGTGCACGAACCAGATCACTTATGGAGTCATCTAGCTCAACAGTCTCATCTAGTTCCTTCCTCAGGCTTTGAAGCACTGTTTCGATCTCAACGTCACAGTCGATCGACCGCGCATCATCAGAGTCTGACTCCTCGAACGCTTTCCGTTCAGCTATGTACCTCGAGTACAAGTGCTTCTTGGGTTTATAAGGAGCAGCTTTCCATGTTAATGGTGGAGGCTGGTTGAGATCAAAGTCACATGCGCTCTCTTTTGCTGGTTTTACTTCCAGCTCTTTCGGCGTGTTCTCTTCATTGCTGCTTTCCATTTCGGAGAGCCTCCGAAGTCTTCTCCTCTTGGACACTCTGCTCTCCGATGGAGGAGGGGATATCTTGGGAGCGTTGCATATATCTTGGACCTTATCAACATCTCTGAAACCTCCGAGCTCGGTGGATGATTCCTTCGGAGAAGCAACGGTGTGAGTGTAATGGTGGTCCTTAGGAGTTGGGTTCGAAGAAGTGGGTTGATCACCTCGAGGCCCATGCACAACTCTCTCGAGTCTTGAATCCTGAACTTTCTCAGGCGAGGAGCAGTTGATGTTGGAAGGCCTCCAGATTCTATTCCGTGGACCTCCCTTCTGAGCCAAGTCCCCGCCGGTGTCAAGAGGAGCATTGTCCTCTCGACACGGGCTCGGTCCTTCCTTCTGAGCCGCATGCACGACGGTGTCAAGAGGAGCCTCAACCTCTTCACAAGGGCTCGGTCCAGCTGCGATGCTCACATCGCTCAGTCGTCCATACCCGAAATCAGTTGGTTGGCAATCACTGCGAAGCAAGCTCGCTTCGTCATTTAGAATATCCTCCAACCTCCTCAACTTGATGCGTGGAGTTCTGAACGGGATCCACCTCTCCTCCATCTGAAACTTCGTCGTCGACATTCAAGGACTCAATCTGCCTCGCTTTTCGAGCTCCATGCAGTAGCTACGCCCATCGTTATCCAAATGCTTATGGCATGGCATGCAATCTGTTCCCGAGTTAGCCGCTACTTCTCCGACTACAAAGAAAAGCCTTTCGTCAACTCTTCGTAAAGTACTTGACGGCCTCAAAGCTTTAAATCAGTGGACTTGAATTACACGCGGTCATGGTTATCACATTATCATGTATTCTCGAGACCTCAATAGTTGCCTCTCTCTTTTCTGCAGGTCCAATGCTCGCGTCGGAACCACTAAACAATCCAACCTCCTGCACGTACTTCCTCGCTATAAGATCTACTTCTGCAAGCATTGCTGCACATTTGTTTGAATCCGCAACTCGTTCGTTTGACTCCTACCATCTGATACTAAGTACATTCTATCTTTGCATGACCACGCAGCCAATCAAAGTTAACCGGTTCAACCGTTAAATGGGTGGGGAAACTCGCAAACCCCAAGCTGCTTTCGAGGTTAACGTTACATTCTTCGCTGCAAAGTCCTTGTTGCATCGGAAAGCTGTAAGCTCGAGTCCAGGTTGGCGATGAGAGTCTCCTAGCAGGTTCCGAGACTTGAATGCTGAAGCCAGTAAGATCACTGGAGTTACTAATGTGCCCATATTTTTTGTTGGCTTGATTTGTACGCTCTTTTGGACTCTTCATTCCACCCTGATTAATTATTACCCAGGATATGTAAGAATACATTCTCTACGAGGATGAACCTCATTTATGTATTATGAATACATATATAACATAATCTATATTTGGAAATAGCATTTGATTTAGTTATGATTAGAAGTGGTTGGAGATAACTGTTTGGAATTTACAAACGGTCATTTCCAGCCCCTACCGAACAATCATTGAGAACATTTTAGAATTTAACATGTATATAAAATTGAACGCGAGAAAAGATCATTATTATTTCAATACATAATAACACAATTATCCGTATACATTGATATATTAAAATTTCAAAGGTGACAAACAATCATAATATACCAATGTGTACGAATTATTTTGTTGTTCCAGATTAGAATATATATAATTTTCTCATAGTTTCAATTTTCACATTAAAATAAAATAATAATTTTTATTCAAATTTTAATTGAAATTCTAAATTTAATCAAATTTCATACATATTATGAATTTGAAATTTTTTAAAAGCAATCAAACCTCCAAATGATCAAGTAATAAATTTTTTTGTAAAGATGAAATAAATATATCAATTATAATATAATAAATATTTTTAAATATTTATAATTGAAATTAGATAAATTATTATTTTCAAATCATGAGATATTTAAATATCATAAAAAATCTCTATTTTTTTTTCAACATTTATTGTAAATTTTATCATCCTATCTGATAATTAATATTGTGAAAAACCAAATAACATAAATTTTATATGAAATTTTTATGAAATATAAATATAGCAATCTACTCGATGATAAATTGATTTTACAAAGTTCATTATAGATTACAAAAACTAACTTCAAATTGATATTCAAAATTTCATTTATTCTGAAAAAATCCCAAAAAGTTATACATTACATGGACTTGAATTTTATTATGTTATCAAAATTATATTATGATATTTTTAAAAAATATTAAATCATTAATTTGAAAAATAGGTCAACATTTAAATGCAATATTTTATTTTATTTTTAATACTAAAAAAATCTACATTATTGTAAAATTTAAAGTAATGTTAATTTGAGATTAGCATTTTACTTTAAATCAATCATTGAAATTTGTTGAAAGTTGACAGATCAATCTAGATGAACTTCAAGTTATTGATGCAAGCAAATTGATGATATCTTCTTGGAAGTGACAATGGTAAATAAAAAGAAGGTGACATGTGTATCCACTCTAGAAGTAATAACAAGTGTTGTTTTTATGCAAGAGTATTTTCAATAAGCTTCGTAAGTCATATAGTGTGTCAATTAATAAGTAAAATGCATAAGATAGTTAGATACTATAGCTCTAATAATGTATAAAAGCTGTTCTTGTAATTCTAGTAAAAAAATAGTTGCCACAACACGAAGTCCTAATGTCCATCACGGTTAGTTGCTAGAAAATCCTAGCCACTAATTCTATAAAATTCTAAATCTTGAATCCTAGCTATTTGTGAGCTTTGACGTTCTTCAAGATTTCTAATAACACAAAATCTTTATGTTTAATCCATGCTTCAGAGTAATCTTCACGTCCATAATTTGAATCAGCCAACCTAAGAAGCAACGAATAAGTTTTAAGAGTGACATATGAGAGTGAAAGAAGATGCATTTGCTCAAAGGTCACAAACACAATTTCAACTTCAACTATTATGCGGAACAAAATGACGGCCACTAAATCTTGTAGTACAAGTTATGGTATAATCAAATACTATGCAAAATGATGATAATGATAGTCATTAAGTATTGTAGAGCAAATTATAAGATAATCAAATAGAATGGACATGATGATTATTTATTTTAAAAGATATAGTTGAAAGACAAATAAAAACTATAGGTCTAGACAAAACAGTAAGACCCAAACTTACAACAACAATAATTAGAAGTATCTTCAAGATAATGCTATCAAAATAATCATATAGTCATAGTCAACAAACTTTGCTTTTAAAGTAATTAGATGAGAGTGAGATGTTAAAATCTTTCTATTTCACGTGTGAAATAGAAAGATTTTTTGCAACTAAAATTCTCAACTGCTTAGAGGCTCATAAATAGTTTGGAGTCAAGGTTTGGAATTTTGTAGAGGCAAGGATTGGAGTTTTTTGTCGCGAGCTATGTAGGCAATTAGATCAATGTACTAAGACATGAGTACTCATGAGAACAGGGTAACGGACCAGTCCAGATGTTTGAGATTAGCTAAATGGCAATTAGCAAATTCAATACATCTAATAGCTTTTCTTGGATTTTCATAACCTTGTTCTCGCATGTAAATCGTCAAGCCGTTTCTGCCCTAGGTACGAAGAGCTGAAGACCAGGATTTGGCTTGACGATTTACCCCCACAATATTTAGTCCGAACGTAGCTCTAACTAAATAGTTTTGCTCTCATTCGCACTACACGCGTAGCGCGCTCACACACGGTCTTGAAAGAGAGAATAAATAATATTCTTGTTCAACAAAACAAATGATCTTCTTGTTCTTTAAATCGGTAATCTCAAACTAATCTCTCGAATCTGATGGAATTGTATCAGATCATGACAATTTTTTTAAGCCAAAACTCCAAGAATACTAAGATGATTTAAGATTTTATGAATACTGTATAATAGATTGCATAACCATCTTCTAATTTCTTAATATCACATTATTATCAAATATATTTAAAACATAATTTTAAATTTAAAATCTACAAAATCATTATTATTTGTCATCTCTGTTCATAAAATTGAATCAAAATCAATTCATAAGAATATTGTAAATTAAAAGTGAAGAGAATTTTGTAATCATTATTTTATTTATTTTCTTTTTCGCTGTTATTTAAAATTTTTTTGTTCTTAAGATTACATCTTAATGAAAAAGTTTACAATATTCTTTTCAACTAATTTTATATTTTTAATCTATGTAAATTTGTTACAATTGAGCAAAAAAAAATATAAATATAAAATTAATTAAAAAAAATCTAGATTAGATGAAAATAACTATGAATCTGAAACAAAATAACTGTATGTACTTTATGTATATAATATTATACTATGAAAAATTTCAACAAGTTATAATCTCTTCCAAGATTTCTCTATAAATCTAAATTATATACAAGTTCAAACGCTTATACACATGACACAAACGAATCTACAACATCACTGGATGCTAATAAAAATAAAAGTCTTTTCAAATTTAATAATATGTTCATAAAGATATCAAAATATGAATCCATATTTAGTTTTACATATATATATATAAATATTGATTAATAGAATTTAGAATCATAGATTTTCAAATATTGGAATACTGATGCTAATTTCAATGAATACAATCTAGATCCAAAATTTTGTATAACATTACTTTTTATATTATGTCACATCTAGCAATTATATTGTTTATGTGTAAATAGAAAAAAATCATCTATCTTTGTAAAGATTTTAGTATTGTAAATCACTGATTAGATAGTTTTCTATTTGACGTTACAACAAATTGAGACCAAATTTTCAAACTCTTAGGGTTAAACATCTCATCCATCACAAATAGAAATCTAAAATTTATTGCTAAATAATCTCGAGGAAGAGATTTTTCGAAGATATACTAGATATGTTGAGGTAGCGTTGAATTGACGATCGATAACACTGAAGTGTATTTATGAGTCTTATTCATACTTGTAAGGTTTATCTAAAAACATGAAGATCAGTAACGTTTTGTATTACAAATTTTGATATATGATTGAACTTAAAAAATAATATGCTTACTTTACATGAATATAAAACGAAATTTTGGTGAAAGTACTTATATTATTAAGAACTTGAATGAAAAATATGGCCAAATAAAAAAATTTAGTCATATGTGTAGATAAATATGTAAATTTGGCCATTATGTAAGTAAGTAAGTAAATAGATATATACTAATTTTTTTGAAATGTATTTGGAATAAATTAATTACCATTCTATATGAATTTAAAGGATTAATAGTCATAACACGATATGCTACTTCCTGATTAAAATTTTTCTTTCAAAGCCAAATAAAGTGATGTAAAAGAAGGCATTAAAATCTTCACGATTCTTCACAATTCTTCAAGATTTTTTCATAATAGATTCATATTTAGTATCAAATCTTACATCCTTTAACTTACTTGACCTTTCGTGCGGAAGTTATGTTTAACAACACCATGTTACTTGGTATCTGATACTATGTTTTTTCTCATGATTTGACTGTTATTCAATAAAATTTATAATAAATACGGATGAAGTAAAATTTTCATTTCTGATTCTTAGGTTGAAATTTTATAAATAACCTCTCCTGATCTTTTTCTTGCTAGGTTCATTTTTCGATTGAAATTGGAATTTTATTGCAAAAACTATATTAATATAATGCCAAACTCTTGATGGGAAGAACATAATTGCTAGATTTTATTTATAAGTAGTTAAATAGTGAGATCACTAAAGAATAAGTTTAAATATTTTATTTCTAACTAAATTTAGTAATATCTAAAGCTAATTTGATATTCAGTGATTACTGACTTTAGTATGGCAAAATTGGGGTTAAGAATACATGAACTTTTAAAGAAGTCTTGATTTGAAGTAAATGCAAGTTGCAACCTGTTTAGTACATTATTAATTACATTGCGACTTTGCATCATTTTCTTTCAGTACCGAGGTAGCTTGTACTGCTCATGTACTAGCCTCAATTACAAACCTCAAATTACTTTTCTGTTTCCAAATTTCTGTGTTGCATGCACAATCACGTACAATCTGACAGGATTGACTCA